CTACTTTGCTGGAGTCCGGGTTTGGGCAGGCAGTGCTGTCAGCGCGCGGTGCGCCTTGGCACCAGCTGATAAGGTGGGAGATGCGGTGCCTGGGGCAGAGCTGGCTGTCCCCATTTGGATGATGCTGAGCTCTTGAGCTGAGCATCTGCGTTAGTAGCAGGAGGGAGGGTGCTGTGCCAGGCACTGAGCCTGCAAATCTCTGCCACCAGTGTGAATATGCAGCCTCTGTGTTGGGGGTGGGGGTTCTAGATCCTGTGCACCCCATTGGAAGGGGCTGCCAGTGAAGCTGTTAGTAAATTGGCTGCGATGGGTGTGCATGTAATGGCTCTCTAAATCCTATGCTTGCATTGCCAGCTCCCATGGTATTTTGCCAGTCTAATAAGGCTTGGTGCTTGCAGTCAGTTGATTATGTATGAACCTCAGCTTTCACTGGGTGAAAATAAGGTTTTAGTCCTCTTTTATAACGACAGCCCAGGAAGCTGTCATCACACTCTTGAGATTCAGAAACCTGCAGGGCAAATGAGAAAAATCCCTGAAGTATTTATTATTTTGAATCTCTATTCTCTCTTTTGTTGGTTTGGTTTGATTCTGGTTCCTGGCTTTTGAGAGCCTTGGGTTGGCAGAATGGCATGCCAGCTAAGTGAAATGGCAGCAAGGAAGGGAAGAAAGCAAGTGATGGGAGTGTGTTTGAGCAGGCCTGTTTCATTTAATGGCATGTAGTTATTTTGCTACTACAGCCTTCTTCTTTTGCTCTCTTAGTGAATAGCACTAACATGCAATCCTGCTCTACACTCACATACTCAAATTGCTTGTAGTTTACAGTGCCATTTAGAGCGTATCTGAATATGAGCATGCATAACTGTGTTTTTACTTTTGTTTGGTCTGTGTATGAAAACTGCAGAAAAGCTAAATGCCCGTACAGAGTTTAAATGCTCTATTTAGCTTGTGTATTAGACAGTGGTTCATATTCTTATGGTTTCATTCTCTTGGCAGTCTCCCCCTTGCCTAAGAAAATTATTTAAATGTGATAATTGCAGCATGTGCTGGACACTTTGAATGAGTGAGAATTTACTGCATCACCCTCTTACATGATTGGTCAAAAGAAGACAGGTTTGGGAATTGGGTGGATTATTGCAGTGATTTACATTGTGATAGGTTTGTAAATATAATAAAAACAAACCAAAATCTGGTTTGGTGGTAGTATGTATGTGCTATCTCAGATCAGCTTCCTCTTTTGGTACCACTATTTGCCTTTAGGAGAAAAAATAGAAGCGTCTCCTCTGGATATTTAAGGAAGTCTGCAAATACTTGGTAAGTGATCTTTAAATCATTGTAATGGATATGCCTTTTTCTGCTGGGATTAAAATGTTTGGACTGTATCTGTCAGTTTCTAAGAACAGTGAGGGTTTTTTAATGGGGGAATATTCTTGCTTTTTAATGTATTATATTAATGGTGCAAGTGGAATGTACTACATTTCAGCAACACACACTTTATTATCTCACTGCTTAATTTCAAGGAATTTCCATGGGTCTTGCTTAATGATGTATTAGCCTGCCTAGTTAACAATAGCAATATTTTTTACGTTAAACAATAACTCTTGCAAAGATGACAGATATTAGGTTGTTTAGTCCATTGCTGAAAGATGCTGAGATACTGTTACGCTGATGAGGATGGTATAAGAGGTTTTGTCTTGCAAACTGGGATTAACAAGAGAAATTTAAAAAATACAGTAGACATTAAAATAGATTCTTTTAAACATATGTAAAGGCATATTGCTGTGAGCCTATGGGGATTTATCTATACATGCCAAAAAATTACCTCTTTTAAAGAATTTTTTTTCTCCTACTGACATTGAAATAGGGTTGTTTTTTTTTAAATCTAGAATGCTTCTGTTCAGTTGTGGCAGAACCTCATTTATTCTTATGAAAATTGTCTTGAGATTTATTACTTGAAAAGGCCATAAAAGTGCATTAAAGAGGAACTGACTAATGAGCCACAGAGTCCCTGGAGTGGCATCTTTTTTAGGCTTCACAATCTTTGTTTTTCTGTGGATTAAAGTTTCAGTTGACTGGTAGAGGAGCAATGTCATATTGTTTACTGAGATACTGGGAGAAACGCACAGAATGAAGAACAGCAAATGTTACATATGTTCAAGGGGATCTTGACTTTCTCTTTCTGGGGAATAGGCCATAAAACAGATTACCAAAAGAGAATAATAGAGACCAGAGTTCTTTCAACCTTGGCTAAAAGCAAATCCTTCTCTTTTCTTCCAACCCATGGCCTGGGGAGTTTATCATTCCTGAACTCTCTGTCTGGTGAAATCAAAACTTGCCAAATTAGAGAGTCTGAAGAGGGAGAACATCATGCCAGGGCTTGTAGTTGGTGGGGGCAGCGAATCTGGAGGGGGCAGGAGATGCATCAGGTGTTCAAGATGACACAAGAGAAAAGAAATCTTCCTGATGGGAAGTGCTCTGATTTTTCTTGTGGAAGAAGTATTTTTCTGGTTTAGTGATAAACACCTTAAATGGGTGTGTGCTTTTTTTTTTGTGTGTCAGGAGAAATGTTTCTCCTGTAACGCCTGTTCCTGGCCTATATATTTAGTTCACTATTTCAAAACTCTTTATTAATATCTATGTCATAACTCCAATACCCAGTGAGCACTGGGAACATGCAGTATCTGTGTTTAAAAAATCCATTAAGTTTTAAAAGTGAAATCTCTCAATAAATACTGCTAGGACTTCCAGGAAAGCCCTCCAGGAAAAAAACAGAAAGACCTGATTTGATGTTTCTGATAGTTACAAGGTTTAAAAGAAAAGTATAAACCATTCGCACAGTAACCTTTATGTAGCTTTCATTTCACAATTTGTGTGTGTGGGGGGGGTACCTAAAATGCAGAATATAGTCCATTGAGAGAGGATATAAGAAATGTTAAGTGGATATTATACCTAAACTGTTAGGTTATTTTGAAAATATTTACAATTAATTCTATTAATATAGATTATAATATGTCTTTTTACCATCTTGGTAGGAATCCAAAACCTGATTCTTGAAAGGTTGCACTTTGCTATTGTTTTTTTTGTTAAACATTGTTCTCTAGTACTGCCCTGAAAATAGGGCTGGAAGGGACCTTGAGTTCATCTAGTCAAACTTCCCCAGACCCAACCCAGATCAGTGCCCAAAGCATTTCTGGCATATGTCTGCTTAGCTTGTTTTTAAAAAACGTTCAGTAATGAAGATTCCATAATCTCCAAATCATCTAGTGCTTTACTAGCTTTACAGATCGAACACCTCCTTCCCCCCCACGTCTAAAGGGACCTAAATCTTCCTTACTACAGTTCAAGTCTATTACTACTTGTCCAGTGGACATGGGGAGCAATTTATTACTTTCCTCTTTACAGTAACCTTTTACAGATTTGAAGACTATTATAATGTCTTTTTGCTCTTATCTAGACTAAACCAGTTCTTTAAATCTTTCTTCTAGAGTGGTACACCAATATAACAGTGTCATATCGAATCAGCACTGATGAAAGGAAAATTATTGGCTATCGTGTTTTTTTGGCCAGTGTAACCAATAATGTATTGATAAATAGAACGTGCCTTCTGGCTGGGGCTCCAGACACCGCATGCACGCGCGCAGCCACAGTATGCACATACAGCAGTGGAGAGCAGCCGGGCAGTGTGGAGAGTAGCCAGGCAGTGTGGAGAGCAGCACCCTGCAGGTAAGTCTGTGAAGGGGAAGGGGCGTGGGAGGCTCAGATGAAGGCCCCCCACAGTGAGGGAGGCAGTAGGCCAGGGACAGGGACTGGGGGCACTGCCCAGCCAAGGCGGTGAATGGGACCCAGGGCTGGGATGGGGAGTGGGATGGAGCTGTGAGTAGCTCATCTATAGGGCGCATGAGAGGGGAGTGACTCTCTATCACTGTGTGCACCCCTGGGGAAAGCATGGGGGGCATGTGCCCCCCAGATGTGTGTAGAGCGAGGTTGGATGTGGGCTGCCCGCTGTGGGCTTAGGGCTCTCCGCCCTGCTGCCTTTGCCCCAGGAGCCCCACACTGGCTGTGCACCCCCTGCTCTTCTGGCAGTGGTGGCAATAGCGAATTGTTCCTCCCACTGCCTGATGAGCAGGGGGCGCGCAGCTGGCGCACAGCTCCCAGGGCAAAGGCAGCAGGCCAGAGAGCCCTGAGCCCATAGTGGGCAGCCCACATCAGTCCTCACTCTGTTCATCTCCTTTTAGAAGTGTCCCCGACTTAAAAATGGTGGTGACAGCGCTTGAACTAAACCTCATTTGGCAAGCTTTAGTTCAAGCCCCCCGACACCATTTTTAAGTATCAGAATGCTGATTCCCTGGTACAGTACTTCAGCTGAGGTTTCACCAATGCTGAGTAGTGGGAGCATCCGTTCTTATGACTTAGACCTTCCAATATGCTTTGAGCATTTTTTGTAACATTCTTTGAAAATTATCTTTTTAATTCACATTCATGATCTGGGTAATACTGGAACAGGTTACCTAGAGAGGTTGTGGACTCTCCATCCTTGGATGTTTTTAAGACCTGGCTAGACAAAACCTTGGCTGGTCTAGTTGGGGACAGTCCTGCTTTGAGCAGGGGTTTGGACTGGATGGCCTCCTAGGTCCCTTCCAACCTTAATTTTCTATGATTCTATGACCTGCTTAAGCTCCAGGTCCTTTTCTATATTGCTGCCAGGTAATCAGTCATCCTCCTTATTGTGAGAGGAATTTGTGCAACAGATTATTCCTACCTAAAAATAATGCAATATGGGCAGCTAGTACTACTTTGTGTTTATTTTGGATCATTTCTTCAGTTTGTCCAGGTTGGTATTTTGAATTGTAATCCTGTCTGCTAAGGATCTTGCGACCCCTCCTAGCTTGGTGTAGACCAGTGGTTCCCAACCTTTTTAGACTGCGAACCGGCAAACTGACCAGCAAACCAGACTTATGTGGAACTCCACTTGACACATCCTTCTAGTTTGAGAGTAAGCCATCAGTCACCATACTTCCGGGAGTGTGGTTTTTAAACTGGTATTGTACCCACTTTACAGTAGTGTAATCTGGACTATATTTCCTTAGATGGCTTATGAGTGTGTCAAAAACATTACTAAAGACAAGTTGTGATTTCTGCTGCTCATCCCTTATGCACAAGAACCCATCGTAGAAATTAAGTTAGTGTGATTTGACTGGCTGTTAATGAGAGCCAGTGTAGATTTGTTGTGTGCTAGGTGTTTATAAATAGATTCTGTGCTCCAGTATCTCTCCAGGGTGAGGATGTGTATAATTGTCTGGGTCCTCCTTTTTCCCTTTTGAAGATGAGCACTATATATTTGCCCTCTTCTTCCATTCTTCTTGAACCTCACCTGTCCTTTGTGAGTTCTCAAAGATAATTGCTAATGGTCCTGAGATTGCTTGAGTCAGTTCCCAGGTATCTTATGGTGAACTTCATGAGGGCCAGCTGTTTTGAAAACCTCTAATTTATCTAAACCAGTGGTCACCAACCCATGGATCCTGATTGACAGGTCGATCCTGGAGCCTCTTTTGATTGATCCTGTGCTGGGGGAGAGTTGGGCATGCGTTCATGCACACACCTACCTCTCAGCCCTTGCAGGTCAATTTGTGGGGGAGGGAAGGGGCAAGGGCCAGATCAAGGCCCCCATGGTGAGCGACTGACCACGCGGCCTAGCCAGGAGCATGGAAAGGTAAGTGGGGCCCCATCCTGGCCGGGTGGTAGGAGGATTGGAGCCTGGGGGGGTGTTTTTCCCCCCCATCTCTGCAGGAGCAGAGGTGGCTGCTGTTGTGCCTCGAGCGCCGCTGAAAGCTAGCCACATGTGGGTGCAGCTCAGCTACACTCACGTGTACAGCTACACTCACGTGGGGGCAGCCCCAGCCCAGACAGGTCTGGAAAGATCTGGTCGTCCGGGGAGGGGGACTCCCATTGGGCAGAGCCCAGCAGAGCCCCCAGGGGGTCCATTCCCCTCCCCGACCTGTGCTCCGGGCACAATGGGCAGCCCACAGCAGCAGCCGCCTCGTCCTGAGCACAGATAAAGCTCAGGAGCCTGGGCCCCCAGAGCCTCCTGCGGGGCTGCACCCAGTGGCAGGAACCCCCCCACACACTCTCCTAGCCTGTGGACACTTCCAGACCCGGCCAGGCCAGGGCCCAAAGCCACGGTTGTCTGGTTGCCGGGTGGGCCCGGCTCAGCATAGCTGTGGCACAGAAGTGGGATCAGGCCCCAGCCTGGCCTGGCCAGGTCTGGGACTCTCTGCGGTCCAGGGGCATATGGGGTGGGGGTGGGGTGAGCAAGGGGGGAGCATAGTAGATCCTGAGGTGCCCTTTACTTCCAAAAAGGTTGGAGACCATTGATCTAAAGATTTTCTAAGATGTTTTTTATCTTCTCAGCTGCAGGTAGAAGAAGAGTTAACTGTGTAGTTGCCTTGTCTGTGAAGCATTTCCCAGTTGCATGCTCTGGTTCCTTTAAACTCTCTCTATAAACTCCTTCTCAAAGCTGCCCTGTTTGTTCATCAGCTGGCTTTCAAAGCTCTTTTGCCTCAGTCAGTCCTGTCCCCTTATTTAGGGACACCAGTGGTCAAAAGCTAGCGGATGAAAGACTAGAACCACTAGTGCTTAGTCAGGCTGTAACATGCATATTGTACTGCAGACTGCAACAAATGAGCAGACAGCCAACCAGACAGAGTCACTCACTTCCATGGAGTAGAGTCTCTCTCCTAACTAGGATAGGTCCTTCTCAAAACAACCCTGTTTGCTGCCCTCCGTATGTTATCTCTGTAGAATTAGCCTCTGATTTTGTTTGTGAACTGCAGTAAGCTCATACCAAATATGTCTTCCTGGGCAAGAGTAATGATATGTTGCTTGGAAAGCTGGAATTTTTATGGTGTTCTTAATTCATTAAGTACGTAATGACTAGGGATTGGTTGATATCCTGAGTATTGTTCTTAAATGTCACTTTGAGGGGCTGTTTTTCTTTCTGACATTTATGTTTATCCATGTTCAGCTCCTATCGAAAAACTGAGCGAAGCAGATGTAAAATACATTACACTATAATGTTTCTGAAGTAAATAAAAACTAATCTGCCAAGAAATACCATTAGCTACTTGAAATGTCAGTGGCTTAGTGAAAACAGCAGTTGTTCTTTAATCAAGTGCTCTATTCTGTCAGAGTGATATTCTTAACCATTTCTAATGCTTTGCCAATTTCTGTTTTCATATAACAAATACAGAGGCAGGCATTCATTTTGAAGTGGCAATGCTCAGAAAAGTTCCTGTATTAACCTTTGTATTGAAACTGGACTTAAAAGTAAATTAGATGTCATTTTTATAGGCTTACACACAACTGCCCTGCCAAAGTGCTTTAGTGCTGCTTTAGTGCTTTTGGCTGGTTCAGTCTTCATATGTTTTCCCTATAGACTTAAGGGAATGAATCCTTACTCTGTTAAAGTTGGTGGAAAATTTGTCAGTGACCTCAGTGTCTCATCCAGAATGTCACCAGTATAGCTGATTGTGGCCACTCAGGATGGTGGCTTTTTAATCACTTCCATCCCTCCCTGCCTGTCCCCACTCACCCCAGCTCCTGCTGCAGCTGTCCTGGGAGTGGCTGATGCCAGCTCCCTGTAGCTGCTGGGCTGCACCGTGCCCTGGTGCAGGCGGCTGGCACTGGCAGCTCCCGGGGCTGCTGCAGCCAGGGCTGAGGTGGAGACAGAGCTTTGGGAAGAGCCTGGAGCCCCTGAGCCTGCAGTGGCTGCCAGCCCCAACCTGCTCTTGTCCAGATGCAGGTGGCTGCCCGCCCCTGCTGCAGCCCTGGGAGCAGCAGACACTGCCTGCTTGCAGCTGCTGGGCTTCACCAGGCCGGGTTGTTCAGGGCATGGTGCCTCGGGGGAAGCGGATCCCCGGGGGGTTTGGGCCATGGTGCAGCCCAGTGGCTGCAAGCAGGCGGCATCTACTGCTCCCAGGGCTGCAGCACGTGCGGGCAGCCGCCTATAGCTAAACAAGAGCAGGCTGGGGCCGGTGGCCACTGCAGACCCCAACAGTGGTCAGGGTTTCCATGGAGATCGGCCCCAGCAGCGCTGGCAGGGCACATGGCTGGGTGGGGAGCTGCTCTGAGGTTGTGATCATGCAGCGGTGACAGTGTGGCCTGCAGCTGAGGCAGAGCCATGATCCGCTGCCTGCATGCTCTTCCCCAGGGTGTGCAGGCAGTGGATTGCAGCTCTTCCCTGCTCTGGACCATACTGTCACTGTTGCAAGATCCCAGCCTTGGAGCAGCTCCCTACCCAGCCATGTGCCCTGCCAGCATTGCTGGGGCTGGTCTTCATGGAAACCCTGGGCCTGCGCTGTCATGGCGCTGCTGCTGGTAGGGTCTCCATGGAAACTGGCCGCAGTGACATGGGCAGGGGCTGCTGGGAAATGGATTCTGTGCTCCTGATCCAGGCCGTGGCCTGGTCTTTGCCCGCCCCTGTGCTAAGAACTAAACTGAGACTATGGATTATGAGTGGCTGTTAAGGACGATATTAATGTCTTACATGTTTGTTGCAGGATTGTGAAATTAATACAGTGACTCTTATTTTGCAAAGATTAATGGCTGATCTAGTGCTTGTGATTGGCAATGGAAGCAGGGAGCATGCTTTGGCCTGGAAATTAGCACAGTCTCCACATGTAAAACAAGTGCTTGTTGCTCCAGGAAATGCAGGAACAGCTGGAGATGGGAAAATTTCCAATTCAGGTAAAAAAAAAAAAAAAAAGTACAGGTACAATAGAGGTAAGTGAATGGAAATATATATTGAATCAGTAGAAACAGGATATCTTTTCTCCTCCAAGTACGCAATCACTTATAACCTACATAAATAATTTTTTGCTGTATAGTCTTTCTGAATTTTAGGACATCTGATAGAGTACCATATGATATGTTTTTAATGTAGTGCAAAGAATTAAAAAAAAAACCCCAAAAAACCCATACAATTTGAGGACACAAAAATACAAACAGAGATCCAGAAAGTAATATAGTGAAATAAGATCCACTTTTAAAAACTATTCTCAAAAGAAAATGTATTTGGGCTGCATATAGCTAACATAATTGATATTTAGCAGTATAAATAAGTATTATAAATTATCTTCAGTTGTTCACCCTAGACATGCTGCTCTTTAATTTGTTGTTCAGTTTTAGTTATGATAATATGTGGGTAGCAGGTGGTGTTCAGCTTCCCTTTCATCCTCATTACCTCATTTGAACACTTTATTAGCCTAATTTGGGCCGGGGACTCTTAGGGAGACTTTCATTTGATCTAGTGTGCAACTTTATAACATAAGAGTATATTTTTGTCCCTTTCAGCTGTGTTAGTTAGTAACCATGCAATCCTTGCCCAGTTCTGCAAAGATCATAACATTGGACTTGTGATAGTGGGACAAGAGGATCTTTTGGCAACTGGTAAGATTAAAATATTTTTGTTTGTTAGAAAAGGGTAGCGTCTTGTTTTTAACTTAACTCGACTTAAACCTAATATGCTTATACTGTCTTTATTACACTAAAGTGTAAAAGACTAACTTTGACTGCTTGTATAAGTGCAAATGATTTTTACATCTGGCAATGTCTAGCTGTTCTGTGTATACACGTTGTATATCATTTGATAGGAAATCACATGGTACTGGGGAAAAATAATTGCAGCTTTTTTATGCCGCCTTATATGCCATCATGCTTCAGAGAAGGTATATGACCCAAGGCCATGACCTTCTCCTTCATGCATAGTATCACTCAGCCATTACTTTGGGATGTTACAAACAATGTAATTTGGTATTGGAGTCTAAAATAAAGAATATTGGTCAGTCAGAACTATAGTCGCAGGGTGGCCTCAGTGACAAAGCTAAAAGCTAACTATTAAAGGTCTTATGAAACTGAATGATGAAATGTGTGATGAATTCACATTTAAAACAACATTTTGGGTACAAACTGATTACTATATCAAGGGGTGCAGCAGACTCCTGGGAGGTTCTTTTGGCCTCTGTAGTAACCATGGCCTGGCCACTTCCAAAGAGATGACTTATCTTCTGGCAATCACTAGGAATCGTTGATTACTTGACATCAGTAGGAGTGAGATGCTTTGGACCCACAGCAAAGGCAGCTCAGTTAGAGACCAGTCTAAGCTTTGCCAAAGCCTTTCTGGATCAGCTTGGGATCCCAGCAGCAAGGTGGAAAGCCTTCACCAATCCTCAGGAAGCATATAGATTTGTTAACAGGTAAATTTATCTGTTGCCCGCAACTTTCTTTTCAGGTTATCTGTATGTTTGACCTTTTCCTCAGGATTATTGCTGTGAACATGATCTGTCCTTTCATTTGCTGATGTTTCATTTACAACTGGCTGTTGTTAAGCATATTTAAAAAAATCAAAGACAGGGATGGTCACTGGCAATTTTAATGTCATGAGAATCATAATGGGAAACTTTCCAAAAAACTGGATGGAATCTTATGCATGAGGATACCCATTTGCTACCTATGATAAGAGGAAAAAACCTCATATGAGGGAGAAAAAGTACTGTAACATACTGCACTAAACTTTTTCTTCAGATATTTGCCTAATGATCAGGCTTTCCTATGCACAAGCATAGACCTGGCAAAATTGTTTGCTGGGCACTATGAAAGCAGCTCACAGCTGAAGTTCTCATTCTTATTTGTTCAGGGCCAGATGGCAGGTCCCTCAGTCACATTG